ACATTTTTAGATGCACACTAAACCAAAAAACCAAATTCACTACTACTGAGACAGATCCAATTCATAGCGACCCCTCCTTGGGTTTCCAAGGCAGTATCTCTACAGAAGTAGATTCCCCAGTCTTCCTTCCAAGGAGTGGCTGGTTGGTTTGAACCACCAACCTTCTGGTTAGCAGTCAAATGCCTTAGGCACTATGCCACCAGTGCACACCATGTGAGTTAAACTAATTTAATATTAGAAATACTTGACTTCTAAATTGATTAAGGAGTCCCGGTGGTACAATGATTAAGCACTTCTCTGCTAAACAAAAGGTTGGCAACTCAAACCACCAGTGGTTCCAGGGTAGAAAAGACCTGCTTTTGTAAAGACAATAGCCCAGGGACACCTAATGGACAGTTGTACTCTGTCATATTGTCCAGAGGTGCAGGCTGGATTCAGAAGAGGATGCAGAACAAGGGATACTATTGCTGATATCAGATGGATCTTGGCTCAAAGCAAAGAATACCAGAAAGATGTTTACTCGTGTTTTATGGACTATGCAAAAGCATTTGATAATGTGGATCATGACATATTGTGGATAATATTGAGAAGAATGGAATTCCAGAACACTTAATTGTACTCGTGAGCAACCTGTACACAGACCAGAAGGTTGTCATTTGAACAGAACAAGGGGACACTACATGGTTCAAAATCAAGAAGGGAGTGTGTCAGGGTTGTATCCTTTCCCCATACTTATTCAATCTATATGCTAAGCAAATAATCCAAGACGCTAGATTATATGAAGAAGAATGTGGCATCAGGATTGGAGGAAGGCTCATTAACAACCTCTGATAACGCTGACGACATAATTTTGCTTGCTGAAAATGAGGATGTTTTGAAGCACTTCCTGATGAAGATTGAAGAATACAGTGTGCAGTATGGATTACATCTCAATATAAAGAAAACGAAAATTCTTACAACTGAATCTATAAGCAGCATCATGATAAATGGAGATAAGATTGAAGTTGTCAAAGAATTCACATTGCTTGGTTCTACAATTGACACCAATTGAAGCAGCAGTCAGAACACTAGACAACATAAAGCACTGGGCACATCGGCTGGAAGGGACTTCATTCAAGTGCCGAGGAGCAGAGACATCTCCTTGAAGACTAAGGTGGCACCTGACACAAGCCATGGTATTTTCAATTGCCTCATATACATGTGAGAGCTGGACAATGAATAAAGAAGACCGAAGAAGAATTGATGCTTTTGAGTTGTGATGCTGGCAAAGAATGCTGACAGTACCATGGATGGCTAAGAGAACTAACAAATCTTTCCTGGAGGAAGTGCAGCCAGAATGCTCCTTAGAAGCAAGAATGCCCATACTTTGTCCCACCTACTTTGGTCATGTTGTCAGAAGGGACCATTCCCTGGAGAATGATGTCATGCTTGGTAAAGTGGAGGGTCAACGAGAGAGCGAAGGCCACCAACGGGATGGATTGACACAGTGGCTGTGGCTATGAGGTCAAGTATAGCGGGGATCATGGAGCTGGCACAGGACCGGGCAGTGTCTCATTCTGCTGTGCACAGGGTTGCTATGAGTCAGAGGCAACTCGACGGCACATAACAACAACTACAACAACACTCTCTCATATATGGTTGCTGTAACTCTGAATCTATTTGACAGCATACAACAACAACCTGACATAATCTATCTACGCTATAGAACAGTTCACCATTTCATTTTGAATTGATGACCTATTAACTAGGCAATACCTTCAGTTTGAAGAGCTGACCCAGAAATGACAAAGATGATGGAACTACCAGATAAACTATTATAAATATGTCCGAGATATTCAAGAAAACAGAGGAAACATGAACATGATAAAGAGAAAGTGAAAATTACTTAAAAAAAAAAAAACTCAAGTAGACCTTCTAGAGATGAAAATTTAAGAAGCTGAAATGACAAGAATGCTGTATGGGATTAATGACAAATTAGACCCTTTAGAAGAAAAGATCAGCAAACCTGAAGTCACAGCAATAGAAACTATGCAAAATGAAACACAACAAGAAAAAAATATCTTGCAAAATGACAGTTAACTAGGGGACAACATCAACATATATGTAAGCTGAAATTTAAGAATGAGAGGAGAAAAATAAACAGAAAATAGAAGGTGTAATAGCCCAAATGTTCCAAAGTTGATGAAAACTATTGCAGTATAGTAAATTACCTGGTATGGCTTTTCTAGCCATAAGTCTTTGTAAACTCTGTGGTGGAATTTGCTGTGAGCAACTGAGGAGATCCTGACTGTAAAAGTTATCCACCTAGGGCATCTCTGTTGGGAGTGGCATAAAGCAATGTTCTGCGAGGGTCTCTCTCTTTCAGGTGCTTAGAATTCTGATGTTATGATTGGCTAGTTTGGCCACTCTGCCAGGCTCAAAATGAGGCCTCCTAGAGGCAGAACTCTCTCTCTGACTGCTGGCTGAGAAGGACATGCTGCTGAGAAAAATGTGCTCCCAAGAGAAACACGCTCCTGAGAGACACGTACTCCTGAGAGACACATGCTGCTGGGAAAGAGTCACAAGAAATATGCATTGCTGAGAGAGACACGCACTGCTGGGAGAGAGACTGTGAGAGACTGTTGGCTGAGACAGAATGAGTGTTTTTCCTGAACGTGAATTGTAACCTGGTGCTTCCCTAACAAACCCCATAATCTGTGAGTTCTGTGTGGCCAATGCAGTGAATTATCGAACCCAGCAGAAAGGTGGTGAGTGCTACAGGAGGAAAGGTTGGTGTCAGGGTTGGTGAAAGGGCTGGAGGGAGGCAACATGTCTGGCCTTGCAGGAATAGGCGCTGGGGTACTGATGGTGATTCTGTCTTCCTCTTGTGGGGTTAGAGGAGGTCAGAAGATGTGGTCTCCTTGCCCCTTTAGCAACTATAAACTCAAAGATGCAAGAAGTTCAAAGAATCCAAGCAGGATAAACACACACACATTCATACACACATAAGTATACACAAACCACACAAATCACAACATAATCATGTTGCTAAAAAACAGTGGTAAAGAAAAAGTCTTAAAAACCAGGAAAAAGGAAGAACAAAACATGTACATATTACATATCGAGGACAAAAGATAACAATGAGAGTAGACATTTCATCAGGGACAATACAAACTAGTATTTGCTTTCTGTAGTAAGATCAGATGACCTCATATTATCATTTTCAGTCTATTGTTTTACACATGACTTCTTGTTGCTGGGTGTTGTTGAGTGAATTTTGACACACGGCAAACCCATGTGACAGAGCAGAAGTGCCCCACAGGGTTTCCTAGGTTGTAATCTTTGTGGGAGCAGACTGCCAGGGTTTTTCTCACAAGGAGCCATGGGGTAGGTTCAATGCCAGTCTTTTGGTTAGCAGCCAAGCAAGCACTTAACCATTGCACCACCAAGGCTCCTTCAATGTTACCATTTTTAAAGATGTGATTTATTTCGTTATTTAATTATTAAAAATACCTCAAAAGTTTTGGAGGCTGGTTGGCTGGCTTGTTCGTTTCTTTGTTTACAGATTACAAAGTAATTTACAGATATATAGATAAATATATACACTTAACTGTGCTATTTTCTTTTTCATACAGAGGCTGGCTGCAGTGCAGTGAATTACTCGGTATGGCTTTTCTAGCCTAGTCTTTGTAACTTCCACAGGATTACTGGATTAAAAAAAAACCCACTGCCATTGAGTTGGACCCAACTCATAATGACCCCTCCTTGGGTTTCCAAGGCAGTATCACTACGGAAGTAGGTTGCCCAACCTTCCTTCTAAGGAGTGGCTTGCAGGTTTGAACCACTAGCCTTCTGGTTAACAGTCAAATGCCTTAGGCACTATGCCACCAGAGCTCCTGGATTACTGATAACCCACTGCCATGAGCTGGATCTGACTCATAGCAATCCCTCCTTGGATTTCCAAAGCAGTATCACTATGGAAGTAGACTGCCCAACCTTCCCTCCAAAGAGTAGCTGGTGGGTTTGAACCAGCAGCCTTCTCGTTAGCAGTCAAATGCCTTAGGCATTATGCCACCAGAGCTCCCAGATGACTGGATAGGACCACGCAAATAAGGTGTGTAGAACTCTGATGTTAGGATTGGTTAGTTTTGTCACTCTGCCAGGATTAGAATGAGCCCTCCTAGAGGCAGAGGGGGAAATCTCACTGCCATCAAGAGGGAAGAGCTGGAGGTAAAGTGGTGCATATCCTTGGACCAAAGATCCCTGCACTAGACCTCTGGGCTGAGACTCCCTGGCGGCAGGATGCCCCAGTGGCGGGACGCCCCTACTGGCGAAGAGACGGTGGCAGTGGAACCAAGAGGCATGAGACAGAGTGGCAGGCTTACTTACCCTACAAAAGCAGAGGCCAGGACGAGAGGCCAAGAGCCAGAAAGGAATGTCTGAGGGCCCAGCAGAGGGGAGACTGTCCTGATCAAAGAGTTGCATCCTGAGCATGTTCCTGAACCTGAATTGTAGCCTGTTACTGTCCTAATAAACCCCATGATCATGAGCATTGCCTGTGAGTTCTGTGTGGCCACTGCAATGAATTATCAAACCCAGCAGAGAAGTAGTGAGTACTGTGGGAGGGACGGTTGGTGTCAAAGTTGGTAAACAGGCTGGAGGATGGCAGCATGTCTGGCCTCATAGGAATAAACCTTGGGCTGCTGATGGTGATTCTGTCTTTCTCTTGTGAAGTTAGAGGAGGTCAGAAGATGCTGCCTCCGTGACCTTTTTCGCACTGGCTTTTTCTCTAGAACATATTATTTGTATTTATACATTTTTTGAATAGTAATATTTTTGCATAGTTCATAAAACAGCTTACAGTGAAAAGCCTCTCATACCCCTGACCCATTCACTTCCTCCATGCTAACATAAGTATAATAATTAGCTTATCTTTCCAGAGATTTTCTTTAATTCATATAAACATTACTATCATTAATACTCTTCTTTCCTCCCTTTCAATTTTCTACTTAAGTTATTACCTTTTTCTTTACTAATGATTCTCTCTCTCGGTCCCTTTTCTTCCACTCCTCTGCAAGAGCTTGCATATGAATCAGTTCTTTCTGTTTTAGCTACAAAAGGCAGAAAAACAAAGTCAAAATAAAAATTCAAATATTTCAAATAAGCTAATCAGTTATTTTTAGTTAAATAATTAATACTGATCATTGATAAGATGATTCCTTCAGGAATTCCATCTTATTCTTTTAGAAAGAAACAGCATGTCTGAGGCAAGTAATAGCCATATAACTTAGGAGAGCACAAAGCTAAGGAGGTCTGGTAGCACAGTGGTTAAAACATTTGGCTGCTAACCAAAAGGTCAGTGGTTTGACAGGCATATGAGGTAAACATTTACCTGAGGTAGATACACTCCTTGGAGAGAACAATTATGGGAGAAAGAAGGGCTGTTTATGCACAAGGAGACAGCTCAGGGGGCAGGAGTGCATTGAGGTATAGACACAGGAAGAGGTAACTATGGGGAGGAACTGGGAGGAGAGCTAATGCATTGTGGTAAATTGTAGTCAATGTCATGAGACAAAGTGTGTGTGAACTGCTGTATGGAAAGTGAATTTGCTCTGTAAACATTCACCCAAATGACAATTAAAAAAAAAAAAAAGGTCAGTGGTTTGGACCTACTAGCTGCTCTATGGGAAAAAGATTAAGCAGACTATTTCTGTAGAGATTTACAGCTTTAGTAACCCTCTCTCTCCTAAAGAGTCTGTATTAGTTAGAATCAACTCAACGGCAGGGGAATTGTTAGAGCTTTATAAAGCTAAAAGTGAGCTCCGTTTTCTAACTCTTGTTTGGAGACTGATGATGCCAAATTTCAGCACAGTATGCTGCTAATTGAGGACCTGAAATTAAAAGAAACCTTCATATTTCAGCAAAGAGGACATTCAAATGGCCACCAAATACATGAATAGATGCTCTGTGTCATAAGCCATCAGAGAGACGCAAATCAAAATCACAAGATACCATTTTACTCTCTCATTAGGATGGCTAAGATTAAACAGAAAATAACATATATTGGCAAGGATGTGGGAAAATTGGAACTCCTATCCCTTAAAAGCAAAATGGTACAGCTGTGCAGAAAAAAAAGTATAACAGTTCCTCAAAAAACTAAAAATAGAACTACCATATGACTCAGCAATTCTACTCCTAGGTATATACACAAAAGACTTGACAGCATATGGATGGAGCTTGAAGACATGCTGCGTAAAATAAGCCAATTACAAAAGGACAAATTTGAGTGACCTCACTTAAACAAAAAGATAAGAATAAGCAAATGTACAGAGAGCAAAGTTTATTACTGGTTACAGAGGAAGGAAGGGGGGGAAAAATGGGAGTTAATAGTGACGAAAAAGTTGCACTTATTTAGAGTAGGACTGCACAGCTAATTATTGTAATTGCTGTCAATAAGTTTACACCTATAAAAAGTTTAATTGGCAAAAGTTGTGTAATAGATATGTTTACAACAATGACCTAAAAAAAAAAAAAAAAAAAAGTAGCTGCTGAGGCTACTTATGTACAAGCAAGTATCTCATAGGATTTGGTTCCTTGCTTTGGAGGTTTAGGGTCATGATTTCATGGGACATTCTAGTTTACTAGGCTAAAAACATGTTTAATGCTTCTGCTCTACCTCTTAAAACCTTTAAGGAGTCATCCAGGGTACATTAATTAGTCACTATTCACCTGGAGCCGCAGAGGAAGGAGAGTCAAGAATAGGAGGAGGATACAGAATGTGTGACTAATTGCCTCCATGAACAACTGCCTTCTTTGCCATGAGACCAGAAGAACTGGAGTGCCTGGCTACCGTTTCTGAACATTTTGATCAAAGATTCCATAGGAGAATCGTGATCAAAAAGAGGAAATTGTAGAAGAGAATTTCAAATTTTCACAGACTCCACACTTTCTACAGCCATGGAGAATAGATGAACCCCTAAAACTAATCTTTTATTTTAGAAATAATCTTTAAACCTTCAAACAAAAGTATCCCCTGAAATCTTCTTAAAATAATACCTTAGCTTAACTAGTAGAAAAGGCCTGCCTTGAGTATTATGATCTTTTAAGATCTACTTATATGAGATCAAATTGGTAACAGCAACTAGAAAGATTAGATAGGAACCTTAGGAGGCAGTGAGTTTATGTTAATGGGGAGGAATAATTCAGAAAAGGAAGGCGGGAATGGTTGCACAACTCAAAGAATGTAATCAGTGTCACTAAATTGTACATGTAAAGACTGTTGAATTGGTGAATATTTTGCTATGCATATTCTCAACAAAACATAAATAAATAAAAATTTTAAAAAGAAATTTCTAGACTTTTACCTCTCACTCCTAATTCTGCTTAAGAATGGAAATCTTTCCAAGTGTCTTCTGCCAAGCTGTCACATTTCAAGTATTGTTTTTATTCTTATAATTTTTAAGAGTAAGACATTCTTGACATTCAAAGGAAATAGGGTAACCATGGAACAAAGAGAAAAAAAAAGCCTGCTATGCAGAACAACATATTTACTAAGCAGCCAAAAATAGATTTTCCAAGTAACATTTAAAAGATAACCTGATTTTCAAAAATGTCCTCTTGCATTTCTTTCCACATTTCTAGCTCAAGTGCTGCTTTGTATTCTAAGGTTTCACGAGGTTCTGTAGGGATTTCTGAAGGGCAAAGTGCTGGAGGAAGAGATGACGGCTTCTGTGGTAGGGCTGACAAACCCTAAGATATGAATAAGTAAACATATTTAAACAGGCACACTCACACACATATATATCCCTGTTAGATTTCTTTTCAAGAATACTTTTATGACATTCAATTATACTTACCTGAGATGACTCAGAGACAAAAATCTCACGCATTTTTATTAGCCCATAATCTTCTAGAGTCATTGTGTAAGAAAGATCAACTATTCTGTTATTTGACCTATAAATGAAATCAGAAATATCTTAAAATTCATGGAAATATTTTTACGTTATTTTTCTTTTTATTTACACCATGCCATAGTATTGAGAAATAGACAACACTTCTTATATCTAAAATTCTTGCTGCTAAAATTGCAACAATTTGTTATACAGGCTTCACAACCTTCCATATACATGATTTAATTTATGAACACAAAAACTTAGAAAGTACATACCAATATTTACCACAAAATGACATAAGCAGCTATAGATTATTTGAAGAATCTGAAAAATATGACGGAGAAATAGAAAATCTCACTGCCACAGGTAATCACTGCTAATTTTTATTTATCTCTGTTTTATGTATTAAAAAAAAAAACCCAAAGTCACTGCTGTCGAGTATATGTTGATGCAAATGTACATCTTCATGTTAAAATAATATAATTTCACCCTTTTCTCCTACTTGTATCAGGAGCATTTTCTCACATCATGAATATTAACATAAAATTATGATTTTTAATGCTTGTAAAATATACTAATGATTATATGCAGTAAAATACATTTGATAACCACCACTTGCCTTATCAGTTTGTCATATTGTGGTAGCTTCTGGGTTGCTGTAATGCTAGAAGCTGTGCCACCAGTATTTAAAATACCAACAATATCACCCATGATGATGGATAGGTTTCAGTAGAGATTCCAGACTAAGACTACTGGGATCTACTTCTGAAAAACCTGGCCAGGGAAAACTTTATGGATAGCAGCAAAGCACTGCCTAATACAGTGCCAGAGATGAGCTCCTCAGGTTAGAAGACACTCAAAATAAGACTTGGAAAGAGCTACCTTCTCAAAGTAGAGTCGACTTTAGTGACTTAGATGGAGTAACACTTCTAAGAATTTTACTTGCTGATGCGCCACAACTTAAAATAAGAAGATACAGCTACTCATTTCTAATCAGAACATAGAATTTATAATGTATGAATCAAGGAAAACTGGAAGTTGTCAAAAGTGAAATGCAACAAATAAAGATTAATACTTTAGGTGTTAGTTAGCTAAAATGGTCCAGTATTGGCCATTTTGAATCAGACAAGCATATGACCTACTATGCTGGGAATGATAAAATGAAGAGGAATGGTGTGGAATTCATCATCACAAAGAATGATTCAAGATCTATCCTGAAGTACAATGCTGTCAGTGATAGGATCATATCCATGCACCTATAAGGAAAGCCCTAAGGCATCTGACTGCTAACTAGCAGGCTGGCAGTTCAAACCCATCAGCCAGCCACTCCTTGGAAGGAAGGTTGGGCAATCTACTCTCATAGTGATGCCACCTCGGAAACCCAAGGAAGGGTCACTATGCTTCGGATCTGACTCAATAGCAGTGAGTTAGGTTTTTTGTTTGTTTGTTTGTTTATAAGGAAGCCCAACGAGCTCTGGTGGCATAGTGCCTAAGGCATGTGACTGCTGACCACAAGGCTGGTGGTTCAAACCCACCAGCCGCTACTCAAAAGGAAGGCTGGGCAATCTGCTTCCATAGTGATACTGCCTTGGAAACCCAAGGAGGGGTTGCTATGGGCCAGGTCCGACTCGACGGCAGTGAGTTTGGTTTGGAAGGAAGCCCAGTTAATACTACTATTATTTATTCAAATTTATACAGGACCACCAAAGCTAAAGATGAAGAAATTGAAGATTTTTACCAACTTCTGCAGTCTAAAACTGACTGAACATACAATCAAGATATGCTGATTATCACCAGTAATTGGAATGCAAAAATTGGAAAAAGAAGAATCACCGGTAGTTGGAAAATACAGCCTTGGTGACAGAAATGACGCTGGAGATCGCATGATAGAATTTTACAAGACCAATGACTTATTCGTTGCAAATATCTTTTTTCCAACAACACAAGAGATGGCTATACACATGGACTTCACCAGATAAGGTACACAGAAGTGACACTGACTCTGTGGCAAGAGAGGATGGAGAAGCTCAATATCTTCAGCCAAAACAAGGCCACGAGCTGACTGTGGAACAGACCATCAACTGCTCATATGCAAGTTAAAGCTGAAGCTGAAGGCAATTAAAAGCGGTCCATGACAGCCAAAACCTGACCTTGATTATATCCCTCCTGAATTTAGAGAGCATCTACAGAATAGATTTGAGGCATTGAACTCCACTGACCCAAAACCAGAGGAATTGTGGGATGACATCAGGAACATCATCCATGAAGAAAGCAAGAGGTCATTAAAAAGACAGGAAAGCAAGAGAAGACCAAAATGGATGCCAGAAGAGACTGAAACTTACTTTTCAACAAAGAGTAGTTAAAGCAAATGGAAGAAATGACAAGATAAAAGAGCTGAACAGAAGATTTCAAAGAGCAACTCAAGCAGACAAAGTCAATTATTATAACGAAATGTACGTACAAAGGAATGGAGTTGGGAAGCCAAAAGAGAAGAACATGCTCAGTATTTCTCAAGCTGAAAGAACTAAGGAAAAAATTTAAGCCTCGAATTAAAATATTGAAAGATTCCATGGGCAATATATTGAATAATGCAGGAAACATCAAAAGAAGATGGAAGGAATACACAGAGTCACTGTAGCAAAAAGAAGTGGTCAATGTTCATCCATTTCAGGAGGTGGCATATATATGATTAAGAACCAATGGTACTGAAGGAAAAAGTTGAAGCTGCATTCAAAGAACTGGTGAAAAACAAGGCTCAGAATTGACGGAATACCCACTGAGATGTTTCAATGACCGGATGTCGCACTGAAGGCACTCACCCGACGATGCCAGGAGATTTGGAAGACAGTTACTTGGCCAACTGAATGGAAGAGATCCATATTTCCAAAGAAAGGTAATCCCACAGAATGTGGAAATTATTGAACACTATCATTAACATCTCATGCAAGTAAAATCTTACTGAAAATAATTCAAAAACAGGTGCAGCAGTATATTGACAGAAAACTTCCAGAAATGCAAGCTGGATTCAGGAGAGGCTGTGGAACGAAGGGCATCATTGCTGATGTCATATGGATTTTGGTTCAAAGCAAAGAATACCAGTAAGATGTCTACTTGTGGTTTACTGACTATGCAAAAGCATTCAATTGTGTGGGTCATAACAAATTATGGTTAACATTGAGAAGAACAGAATTTCCAGAACACTAAGTTGTGCTCATGAGAAACCTATACATAGACAAGGAGGCTCTCATTCAAACAGAACAAGGGAACACTGCATGGTTTAAAATCAAGAAGGGTGAGTGTCAGGGTTGTATCCTTTCACCATACTTATCCAATCTGCTAAGCAAATAATCTGAGAAGCTGGATTATATGAAGAAGAATATGGCATCAGGATTGGAGGAAAACTCATTAACAAACTGTGACACACTGATGACACAACCATTCTTGCGGAAAAGTGAGGATGACTCAGAACACTTACTGATGAAAACTGAAGACTATAGTCTGCAGTATGGATTACACCTCAATAAAAAGAAAACAAAAATCCTCACAACTGGACCAGTAAGCATGATAAATGGAGGAGAGATCAAAGTTGTAAGATTTCATATTACTTGGTTCTACAATCAACACCAATGTAAGCAGCAGTCAAGATATCAGATGACATATAGCTTTGGGCAAATTGCCTGCAAAAGATGTCTTTCAAGTACTGAAGACCAAAGATATCTCCTTGAAGACAAGTGCACCTGACACAAGCCATGGTATTTTCATTTCCCCCATATGGACAATGAATAAGGAAGACCAAAGAACAGCTGATGTTTTTCAATTGTGGTGTTGGAGAAGAATGCCAAAAGTACCATGGACTGCTAAAAGAACTAACAAATCCGTCCTGGAGCAAATGCAGCAAGAATGCTCACTGGACGCGAGAATGGCCAGACTTTGTGCCACCTACTTTGGTCATGTTGTAAGAAGCAAACATTCGCTGGAGAAGGATATCATGCTTGGTAAAGTGAAGAGTCAACAAAAAGGGAAAGGCTTTCAACAAGACGGATTGACACACTGGCTACAGCGATGGGCTCAGGTATAGCAAGTATTTTGGGACTGCACATGACTGTGCAGTGTTTCATTGCACTGTTGTATAGCGTCGCTATGAGTCAGCGACAACTCAATGGCACCTAACAACAACTAACAACCACATCTGAAATATCTGGGCATGTCTGAAGTACTCCCTTAGATAAATCTCCTAAAACTTTTTATCAATAGTTCAGGAAAACAAAAGTTAGTGTTCAGAACAAACAATATTAAAAATCTTCAATAATTAATAATTTGATTTTCATATTATATTTATGAAGACAGAAAAGAAAACTAATTTTTAGAGATTTTCATAACAGGAGCTGGGAGGAAAGAATTTTCAGTTCACCAGAATTTGTAATTCTCTAAAAAACTATTTCCCAGATCCCCCAGTGAATAAAATTGTACTAAATCCTTCAGTCTCTGGAAGTAGTTATGGATGGGGAATAAGGAAAGAAATAGCAAAAATACTGACTTGTAGATTTCAGACTTTTACAAAAGCCTTATTTCCTTCTATATTCTTGTTGTTGTTGTTGTTGTTGTTGTTATTTGCCATTGAGTCGGCCCCGACTCACAGCGACCCCTCCTTGGGTTTCCGAGGCAGTATCACTACGGAAGTAGGATTGCCCAACCTTCCTTCCGAGGAGTGGCTGGTAGGTTTGAACCACCAGGCTTCTGGTTAGCAGTCAAGTGCCTTACGCACTATGCTACCAGAGCTCCCATATTCTAATTATGCCTTAAAAATAAAGGCATATGATCAGAGAGCTACAAATCAAAACAACAAGATACCATCTCACCCCAACACTAATGGCAAAGTACAACAAAACAGAAAATAACAAATTCTGGTGGGGATATGGAGAGATTGAGACTCTCATACCTGCTGGTGGGACTGTAAAACGATACAACCAAAGTTTCGTACAAAGCAGTACGGTGATTCCTTAAAAAGGTGTAATTAGAAATAGCATTTGACCCAACAATCCCATTACTAGATATAGCCCAAAGAAGTGAGAGCCAGGACAAGAATAGATATATCACTCATGTTCATCACAGCAATAATTACGATAGCCAAAAGATGGAAACAACTTAGGTGCCAGTGGTAGTTCAGTTTGTGTGTCAAGTTGGCTGGGCCTGATTGAGTGGCTGGGCAGCTAGAGGTAGTTATTCCCCATGATGAGACTGGTAATTAACTCCATGGTGGGATCCACTGGAGCAGCTGAGTAGCTGCATCTGGTATGTAGTCTGCTTCCTGTATATAAGCAGAAGGTTTGGGAATGGTCTCTAGTTTATGGCACGCTTGGAACCTGTGTCGTCGTTCAGCAGCCTGCCATGCTCTGCAGATCTGGGGACTTACAATGGACTTGAATTAATGGCTTGCCATGTGGTTTGGTAACATCAGGACTATGCCTTTTTACTTGTCAACCTTGGGCTTGGCAGCCTCAGCAGCCAGCAGCTGTCTGAGTGAAGAAAAGCCTCTAGCTTCAGTGGGCCAGGAGCTGGAAGTAGAGCTGAAGCCCAAGGCTGAGGGGCTTTCACCCAGCCCCTAAAGCCTGACACTTTGAACTTGGACTTAAAGCCTCCAAGCTGTAAGACAATAAACTCCTGTTTGTTAAGGCCATCCCATTTGTGACATATTCGTCAGAGCGGCACTAGGTAACCAGAACAGTCCCCATCAACAGCAGAATGGATAACCAAACTATGTTACATACAAACAATGGAATACTACGTAACACTAAAGAATAATGTAGAATCTGCAAAACACTACATAACGGAGATGAACTTGAAGAACATTATGATGCATGAAATAAGTCAATCTCAGAAGGACAAATATTATATTAGTTCATTGTTATAAAAAGTCAAGGAAAAATTTACATATGGAAGAAACTTTCTTTGTTGGTTAATAGGGGTGGGAGGAGAGGGAAGAGAACGCTGCCAAAAAAAAAGGCATTTTTTGTATATTTCACTATACATAAATTATATTTCAATAAATGAATTCAAAAATAAATGAATAAACTATACAATTTAAAAAAAGTAAAGGCATATGGTATATGTTAAACAGAATTTAAAATTTCATTGTTAATTTTTAAAAGACAATTCAGGAAACATACTGTTCGGTCTAAAATATGTGAAAACTGCTTTTGACTGCCAAACATCCTTAACATTCTCAAGCTTTAAATCTGATGAAATGTTTAAATATTCTTTCAAGTACAAAAACAGTCACAATCTAATGTAAAATAATGTAAAAACAGATTATAAATTTAACCTTGAATTACTAAATAAGAAAACAGATCCAGACTTTAAAATTGTCAAGTTACTAAGAATAGAGTGAAAAAGTAAGTCACCAGTCTGAGTAACTACTATACCATTATATTAACACAGACTCTTAGTGAGGGTAAAGGGTGTCAGAAAACTAGAGAGCAAACTGGGATATATACCCCACACAGGTTACAGAAGAAGATTAGAAAAAGATGAAAGGATTGTAGCTGTGGTTAGTTCATCAAAATCATCAGACTGATAAAAAGCAAAGGAAACATCAATTGTGCAAAATGCATTACCCTTGTGCTGCTATAACAGGTACACTTTCACTATAAGTTTGGCGCCAGCACTGTTCTCCATTAGCACCTAAAAAGCGCGTTTTTTCTGAAGATAAGATGTTAGAAAGCTGGATTCTTGCGACTCCCAGAAGTAAATCTTTACTCATTTTATCCTTGTGCCATAATTCAACCAGCAATGGAATCCTACGGAAGAGAGAAACAAGTGTTCATACACTATCAACTCTGAACTAAATTCTTTCCTGAACTAACTAACATTTTTGAATTGTCTTAATGCAGTCAAATATGAGTTTGTTAAGTTCCAGTAAGATGGCAGACTATGCAGAAAGACTGCACAAACCCTCTTCAACAAAGAAAAGGGAAACCAATTAACACAGACACAGAAGGTAATCTTGGACCACTGAGCCTAGAAGGGAAGGATATAGAAGTGGACTAAACTCCAACTAGCAGAAGAATTTGCATGAAAATACCAAAAATGGAGACATATGGAGCTGCAATCTGACAGCGATCCTGACGGCACAGACAGCTTAGAGAGTACCGAGTGGTCGTAGGACCAGGGAATTAACCTAAAAATCAGCCCAGCTAGCCAGGGACTGCACGGAGAACTGCTCTGGTGGCTGGGGAATAAACGGAGAAGGTGAAGAGAAAGGCGGGCTGAGCTGTGGACTTTTGCCTGTCCGGAGGGTGCCACCATTTTGAATGTTTACAAGAGGCTTGACTATTTAGGATATTTAAAGAGACAGCACTCTCCCAGATTCCATGGGCTTAAGAACACATTCCACTTGCCAGCAACCCCAAGGACACTCCAGACCTGCACGACTGAAAAGGTATGACATTCCTCTTGTTACTCTTATACCTCACACCCGCTTGGTGAACGAAGGTGCGGCCATCCCTCACTCCCACTCACCTTCTGGGTCCACAGGAACTCCATCTCAGTCTGTGTGTTCAGATGGAGCCTGGTTGCCCTGCCCTGTCCTCCACCGATTTTTTTTTCTCTTTTCTTATTTTAATTTTTTTTTTTTCACTTTCTTTTTTCTGATTAATTTGTTTGTATTTGTCTGTTTTAAAACTACTATTATTAATAATACTTTTGTCCTTTTTACTATTATTCTTTAGTCTACCCCTCCCAAGTCCTTGTTTACAGCTTTTTTCCCTTTCCCTGTTCCTGGTGGAAAAAAAAAAACTTTTTAAATCTAATTACTTTTCCCCCCTTTTTTCTGGAGGTTAACCTCATTCCTTGCTTTTCTTTTTGTATTTTTCCCACTTTTTTCTTCATTATTCTCCTTCTCTACCTCTTTTCTCTTAGCGCCCTATCCCCAGATATTGCAGGTTTTATTGTTTTTTTGGTTCTACTCTATCCCTTTTTTCTTTTTTTGGTTACTGTTCCTGTGTGATTACATGGTGTGTATTTTGTCCAAGTGCTGTTAGTTTTTTGATCATTATTCAATTGTAATTTTTGTCTAGCTGAGTGGGAGACATTAACAATCACCCTAAGACACAACTACACCCAAACCTCCTGCAATTTCACTTACTGAGCGAGAGCGACTACCATCTTCTCCACCAACGGGCCAATGATAAAAAGCCACCAAGAAGAGCCTGAATCATCCTTGGCTCATCTTCACAAAGAGTTAACAGAGATCTAAATACAACAACGCCACGATGCCTCAGAGACAACAGATCATCACAGTCTACACTAAGGAGCAGGATAAAGTGGCAGAAACAAGGGAACAGGATACAGACCCAGAACACATCCCTGAGGAAGAAGCAGCATTTGAATTATCTGATAAGGAATTCAAAAGAAAGATATTTAGGTATCTTCAAAGGATTGCGAGACAGACCAAAGAAAACAGAGAAAAAATCCTGTAAGAATTTTGGAAGAAAATACAAGAACAAAATGACAAAATAAATAAAAATTAGAAATGATTCTAAATTTACAGATAGAAATCCAGAAGATTAATACTAAATTGTCAAAAATAGATAAAGCATTGGAAGGGCAAAGGATTAGAACTGATGCAACGGAAGACAGAATTAATGAGATTGAAGACAAATACCTGA